GACAGCTGGACACCTAGTAGGTGCTCAGTAAATACTTGTCAAATGGATGGCCAGAGGTCTGTACAGTCCTTATTTGCCTCCTGATGAAGAACCTGCTGCAATCTTAGGCACAAAAAGTGTTGGCCGTGCCCCTCCCTGACCGTGAGAGGGTGAGGGGGACAGAAATGCGCCAGGTGTTCTGACATCTGTGTGTGCGTCTGGGTGTGTGTGTGCCTCCAGGCTAGGGGGCTGTGTGCTCTGGCACTGCCCAAAAGACCCAGTTGGCCTCATGACCTGTCTTCTCCCCACAGCCCTGCCTTACCAGCTCTCTGCCCCTCTCTGAGTGTGGACCCTAAAGGGGGAGAAGGGATGCCAGCTGCACGGGGGAAATCCAAATCCAAGGTAAGTGGCAATTCCTGTTTCTTCAGGAACATCCCATCGTGTCTTGTGAGATGTGGACCATTTACTTACCTTCTGTGGAGACTTGTTGCCTATTGGAGGTAGGCATCCAACACCTAGCCCTTGGTTTTCTTCCATTGCCATGGGGGATGAGAGCCTGAGAAGGGCCCAGCAGCCAGGAAACTGCCCAGTGGGCCTCTCTCCATTCCCCAGTGTGCACATGGCCACTTGCCTGTTGGTTCAGTATTTCTAGGGGCTTTGCTAGTGCCGGGAGAAATGTCATCCTCTCTGGAGGAAGATGAGAGCCACTGTGATTTCTCAGCGTGGAGATAAATGCCCAGGTGGGGTCTGCAGTAGCAGAAGGGATTTGACATGTGCTCTGGAGTTAGTCTTGTTGTGTGGTTTTGTTTCTCCTTGTAAAACCCATATTTACATGGAGGAAATCTCTCCAGCTAAGGTCCCAAGACTCAGAGGCACCACATAGCCCTGCTATTCCATTGAGTGCATTGGTGGAGGCACTGAGGTGGTATGGGCAGCCTCCTGTGGTCAGCATGCTCCACCGCTGTCAGTCATCAAGTGGTTTTTACAACAGGCATTTCAAATGCAGTTTTCCATAACAAGCGTGTTTGCTTTCACTTACGTGTATTAGTTCCCCCTTGCTGCTTTAACAGATTAGCTGCAAACTTGGCAGCTCAAAACAACACGTGTTTATTATCATGCAGTTTTGTGGTTGGCGTCCAGGCACAACGTGGTTTAGCTGGGTCATCTGCTTTGGAGTTTACAGGGCTGAAATCAAGGTGTCAGTCGGCTGTGTTCTCATTTGGGGCTGAGGTCCTTTTCCAAGCTTGCTGGTTATTGGCCAGATTCAGTTCCTTCTCACACTTTCCACCTGACCCTCATTTTTCATCTTCAAGACAGCAAGAACCAATAACCAACTGGCCAGGTCAAGTCCGAGATAATCCGCCAAGGTCAAGTGGTCGGTAACCTTGATAGTACCCTCAAAGAACCTTTTGTCATGTGTAATATATTCACAGGTTTCTTGGAGAGCATGTGGTTAGGAGATTAAATCGGGAGCTACACTATCTGGGCTGAACCCTAGCTTCTCCATTTACTAGCTGTGAGACCTGCAGGAAGTTTTCTTCTGTCTCTGGGCCTCCGTTTCCTCATCTGTAACATCCTGTGATTCTGCTGACAGTGCCTCTGTCACTGATTCACATGAGCACTAAGTGAACCAGCACAGTCAGGTGCTTAGAAGAATGCCTTGACTTTGTAAATGCCTGGTCAATCCAGGCTGCCGTGTGTTCTTAATGCAACATGATTTTAATAACAGCTATGTCTTCTATTGTATTTTATTTAATTTATTTAACACACCTGCCCCTTTTGGCCTCAGAACCCTGAATGCTTCCTGAATGATTCTTGGTACCTCGTGTCTCCCATGTTTAAGATGTGTGCACCGTTTCCTCCAGCCACGTGGAAGCACAAGTCCATGGTGAATATACATTTGATTTTTCATTTCAGGCACCTATAACATTTGGGGACTTAGCCATCTACTTCTCCCAGGAGGAGTGGGAATGGCTGAGCCCCATTCAGAAGGATTTGTATGAAGATGTCATGTTGGAGAATTACCGGAACCTGGTCTCGCTTGGTAAGGCTCTTCCTCCCCAACAATCCAGAACCAGCCTACTGAGGGACATGCATCACTCTGGGTCTGGTCTGGAAAATGGAAACCACTGCAATTTCTGTTTTTAAAGAGCTTTATTGAGATATAATTCACATACTATACAATTCACCCATAAAAAGTGCACAATTAAATGGTTTTTATAGTAGTATATTCAGAGTTATGTATCCATCACCACAATCGATTATATTTTCATTATTCCCACCCCAAAACCCAGTACCCATAAGCAGTCTCTCTTCGTCTCCCCCAACCACTCATACCCCCCAGATTGGGCAACTACTAGTCCATTTTCCATCTCTATGGATATGCCTGTTCTGGTCCTTTCATACGTGTGAAATCATAAATACGTGGCTTCTTTCATTTACGATGTTTTTGAGGTTCATCACGTTGTAGCATGTGCCAATACCTCGTTTCTTTTCATTTTCAAATAATATGTATTGTATGGATAGACCACATTTGTTTATCCAGTCGTCAGTTAATTGACGGGCATTTGGGTTGTTTCCACTGTCATTATTTTGATATGCTGCTATGAACATGTACAAGTTTTTTGTGTGGATGTATGGTTTCATTTCTCTGAGGGATAGACTTAGGGGTAGAATTGCTGGGTCATATGGAAACTCTGTAGGTAACTTTTGAGTTCTTTCGATAGACTTTTTTTTTTTTTTTTTTTGGAGACAGAGTGTTGCCCTATCTCCGTCTCCGGGCTGGAGTGCAGTGGCGCGATCTCTGCTCACTGCAACCTTCGCCTCCCAGGTTCAAGCGATTCCCCTGCCTCAGCCTCCCAGGTAGCTGGGATTACAGGCGTGCTCCACCACAGCTGGCTAATTTTTTGTATTTTAGTAGAGACGGGGTTTCACCATGTTGGCCAGGATGGTTTCGATTTCCTGACCTCGTGATCTTCCCACCTCAGCTTCCCAAAATACTGGGATTACAGGTGTGAGCCACTGTGCCCGGCCCTCTTTTGATAGAATTTAAGGAATTGATTTAAGAGGTGTTGTTGAACGGTGAACTGTGGACATTGATGTAACTGCAGGATGCTGCCACCATCCCTGGGGTTGGAGGGACAAAGGGAAGAGTTTAGGGTTTTTAGGGCTTCAAGGAAGGTTTCCTTGGATCTGGGACTCAGACTTCTGAAGGAGGGGGCAGTGTGCTGCCTGATTTGTTTATACTTCTGAGGGGCCAGATGAAACTGGTTCTGGGAATACAGAACTAAAAAAAACCAAACATTGAAACCAGCAAAGCCCGTTATTGGTGGATGTTGACAGGAAGCAGCTGGTGAAGCAGAAGTGAAGATAGCAAAGCCCCAGCCCTGGCACACAAAACAGACAATAAAAGGGTGGGGGTCTGGAGCAGAAGGACAGTAAGTTCATAACCAGCCCCAGGAGCTTCTGACCTAATTCTCAGGAAAATAGTTTGCTTTGTAGAATTAAAGTTTAACAACTCTACTGGCTATAATTTAGATTTCTGCCTCCACGTGTGAGATTTAAACAACCAAACTCAACACCGCACACTCTAACACCAGATGTTTGGGGATTTTCCCACACACAACAAACAGTTCTCCAGCAGATTCCAGCTGGGTGTCCTCCAATTCAATTCTGACAGTGTCTACCTGGAGATAGTGTCAGATCCCACAGGGTAAGGGCCCAGTCCCACAAGACTGTCCCCTACTTCAGAGGCCTTCCGACTGACCAACTCTAAATTCGGGGATTCCCATGACCCTCTCCTCAAGTTCAGTCATTTGCTAGAGTAGCTTTCAGAACTCAGGGAGGCGCTTTATTTATGCTTACGAGTTTAGTGTAAAAGATATTACAGAGGATGCAGTTGAACAGCCAGATGCAAGAGATGCAGAGGACAGGTTATAGGGGAGGGGCACAGAGCATGCACCTTCTACTGCACCACCTTCCACGTGGTCAACAACCCTGAGGCTCTCCAAACCCAGTCCACTGGGGGCTTTTAAGGAGGCTTCAGGTAGGCAAGGTTGATTAAATCATTGGCCATTAGTGATCGGCTCAACTTCCAGCCTCTGACCCCTCCCCAGAGGTCAGGAGGTGGGACTGAAAGTTCCAACCCTCTAATCACATGGTTGGCAACCGGCCCCCATCTGAAGGCTGTCCAGGAGCCCCCAGCCACAGTCTTCTCATTAGCATACAAAAGGCACATATGCAGGAGATTCCAAGGGTTTAAGGAGCTGTGTGCCAGGAAACAGGGGTGAAAAGCAAATACATGTTTCTTATTAGAAATCACAATTTCACACTCCCCATTCTCCAACTGCCCTTCACATCCTGCGTGCTCCCTTCATGTTACTACGCCTGCATTCCTGTTGATGCAGAACGTGGCTGTGACTTCTGTGGTGCCCATATTTATGATCATTTCCCATGTTTGTGCCATGTACAGGTCTTTCCTTTCGGAGACCAAATGTGATCACCTTATTGGAGAAAGGGAAAGCGCCCTGGATGATAGAGCCAGTAAGAAGACGCCGGGCTCCTGGTGAGTGACAGAGAACCACGGCATATGTCTCAGTCTACTGGGGCTGCTATAACAGAATGCCATACACTAGGTGACTTACAAACAACAGAAATCTACTTCTCACAGTTCTGGAGGCTGAGAAGTTCAAGATCAGTGCCTGAGCAGATTCGGTGTCTGGTGAGGACCACTTCCTGGTTCATAGGTGGCACCTTCTTGCTGTGTCTGCACATGGAGGAAGGAGTGAGGGAGCTCTCTGGGAGAGAGATTATGGGTGATTATAGATGATATTAATCTCATTCATGAGGGTTCCACCTTGGTGATTTAAACACCTCCCAAAGGCCCTACCTCCTAATACCATTACCTTAGATAGTAAGATTTCAGCATATTTTTAGTGTTTGGAGCCTCCAAACACTAAAAAGTGCAAAAAGTGTGGGAAAGCCTTCAGTCAGATGTCATCCCTTTTACTTCATAAAAGAACCTCCCCATACTGTTCTCAGTAGTGGCTGTACTAATTTACATTCCCACAGTGTACGAGGGTTCCCCTTTCTCCATATCCTCACCAGCATTTGTTTTGCCTGCTTTGGGATAAAAGTCATTTTAACTAGGGTGAGATGATACC